TATATAGAATGCGTAATGTTAAAGAAATTATATATTAAATATAATCCATAAATAGAGCTTATAAATAATTAAGAATACGCGCAATCATTTAAAATCTTTCTCACAAAGAAAGTAATAATATTGATCTAATTATCTCAGAAAATGTGATGATGTGTCTTTAGTAGCTTAGAAAATTGATTAGTCCCACGTTACTAAGGCCTATTAATATTTAAATATATTGCCCAGAAAGATATAAAAACCCTTTTTCCAAGGTTAATCGTGCTCTTCTCTATCTTTCAGTCCACCAGCATGTAATGTTCTCATTTTTTGGGGCTCCGGCCCTTACTTTAATAAAATTCTATTATTTTCTCCATGTTCCTGTTCCTGTATCTTTTTCTATAAGCACCGACCACACTATGAATTTACAATGTTTATGCTTTCAAAGCGCAACAAATATCTATATATATGAGTGTGTGTGAGCGCGTGTAGCCTGTGTTATATAAACACACGATTTCACAAGTTAATTTGGCATTAGAATATTCTTAATTATTTATAATGTGAACAAACTTATTTTGAAATATTTTTTAAGGTGAGCTCAAATAGCTCATTTTTATCTAACATGAATTGTAGAAGTATTTTCCGTTTGGTGTAGGGAAACTGATATTTCACAATTCTTTATCAGTAAGTGAAGGTATATCTGAAAAATATTTCATATGCTTTGTTAATGTAGATAATTTAACCAAGTTGTCAAATTGAAGAGTTGACTGAGTTTAAACCCTTCTGTGGGGAGCAAGAATGCATGAATCACTTATAAAGTAAGATGCATGATAAAACGTTTCCTTAAAATTCTCTGCCCTTTGTTCAATATGGGTGGTCAGTTTTCCTTTATCTCACGGGTTATTCTGAGTAATTGTTATTCCTGATACTTTCATTCAGGCCAGAGAAGACTGAATTTATTTTCTTTCTTTGCTTTTTACAAACAAATGTTGTGTTTAGTGATGAGAATTATTTTTTAGGCCCTTTATGTTCTTCATCAACTACCCAAACTAATATTAAATTTTTTGTTTCTTTATAGTTAATAAACTTAATGACTTACGAAGTAGTTAATTTCATTTATTTTGAAAGTATAGAGATTATAATAACCGAGTCGCTAAAACGTACACTCAGCGTAAAAGGAAAGCAGATTTTTTGTAGGGAAAAGGGAGCATTTTTTTGTCATCATTTATACTTTTTTACTTATTTTTTTTTTAAAAAAAATAGTTTTCTTTTAAGTAAGACAGAACACTATACATTTTCTGTATTTAAATTAGAGTTATTGTAATAACATTTGTATCAGTATTAATGCAAATATTCTCTCAGACGACAAAAAATATTCAAAAAGCATATTATGGAACTATAGCTAATCTCATTTTTAATGTTTTCACATTCACAATAATTATAATAAAAAATAATAATAAAAAAATAAATGGCTAACAGTCTGTATTATATTAGTTTTTTTAATGGAAAAGGTAAAAATTTATGTTCCAATTTCAATGAATGAATATAAATCAAAATTCAATTTTTCTCCACTTCTAAGCGCATTTATTCTATTCTATTATGACCATTTCCAAAGTTTTAAATGAATATTAGTATGCAATTATTCATAGTAGAAATATATTTCGTTCTAATTTTACAGCTTCATTAAAATATAATATATAATCTTTTACAATCCCGATTGCTTAAAAATGTATTTATATTAAAAATCTATATATAATATAAGACTTGTTTTTAGTGATGTACCCAAAAAGGGAAAAAAAAATTACAAGTTTATTTCACTTTTAGCTTTTATTTTTGAGCCTTAAAAGAATCGTGCCATTTTTATAATTTAATCATGGAATTCTCCTATTTGAGATGACAGATAAGAAAATTTACGAGTTAAAATTTACTCGTAGTTAAAAGAATAAAAGTTATACTACATATAGTTATGCATTTTTACCATTTTTTAATCCTTCATACGTCCAGATAGATTCGTTCTTCGCTAAGCTCGATGTCAAATTTTCAATAGTTATTCGATAATCTAATAAAATATTTTAGAATACATAAATTTCCAATTATGACAAAAAATTGTATGGCACTTTTAAAATTAATTAATAACATAGAAAGTGTATGTCATTTCAATTATAACTAAATGCAATAACAGTTTTAAAAATTTTAAGACGATTAACATAAATTATCTATCAAATTTTCGCTCAAAATTAATGTTTTATTCTAACAAATGAAAAAATAAATTTCGAATTCAAAACATATTGAAAGTTCTGTGCACAATTAACAGTGAAACAAAAGTTATTTATACCATAAATAATAATTAAAGTTTTAAATCTTTTTATAAATTACACTAAATAACTATGAAAAATGAGAAGTAAGAGTATTTAAATTTAATTTCATTGAAATAGTTGCGTTCTATTAAAACAAATTAATAAATAAAAAATGTTTTCAATTATTCAACGCACAAGACACTAACATTAAAATTTTACTTAATTTTTTTAAAATTAATTTCAAAAATTATAATATGAAACAAAAGCACTATAAATATACATTCGGGTAATTGTAATCATTCATTTTATTTTCGCTTTTATTAATTTACATTTTTTAATTTAAATTATTTATTTTTAACTAATTAGAAATTTATAATTGCGAAGGAAAGTTTTAAATTTAGAAAAAGCACTAAATTGTAACATACATTTACTAATTTGCAACACCGGAAATGAAATTCATCTTAATAATACAAGAAAATAATTCTCTGTACTATCTTTCAATAATTATATTCGAAGTTTATTTAAAGGTTATTATTATTTATAAAATAAATTAAAAAATATCATTATGTAGCGGTGCCCAACCTCTATTTGAATGTAGGGCCGGATGCGCAGGAATCTAGACATTTTAAAGGTAATTATGATAATTTTGACATAAATATCAGTGTTTCAGACCCAGTTCTTTTTCAGTCAATTTAGTAAAACATTCGCTTGAAATTAATTTTTATAAAAATAATTATAATAATTTTTTATCAACTTAATTCTTTTAATTAATTCTTTTTTTTTTCTCTTTTCATCCGCCATCTTAATAATATATTTACATAAAATAGATTTTTTTTAAAATATAAAAATTCATTCGAAGTTAAATAATACTGGACTGATGCTTTTCAAAAAAAAAAAAAGAAAAAAAGAAAAAAAGTCTTTCATCTTTATCAAGAAATAAATTTGTCGTAAAAAGGGTTATAAAGATGGGGAAAAGGGAAGATTTTTTTACAAAACGTAACACAAAAGTTTATTTAAAATAAAGTAATTCTAATACTCTTGAATGAATGTTAAAATAAAAGATAGATAAATATTTTATTGAGCTAATAAATACAAATAAAGTATTTTAATTTTTTAAAAAAATGTTTGGGATCTATAATGATTTAAATAAAACAAACGCATTGTAGCTCTAGACCAGATTCAAATCATTCAGGAAGATTCATTCATTCAGTTCAATATATTTTTAGCTTTAGGACAATTAACTTTAGTGAATTATAAGAAATTGTTTAATCTTAAAGCGGTTTTTAAACATTTTTTTAACTTAAAAAAAATTAGAAACGAAGTTCAAAAACAGTAGACAGTTTAAGAAACCCGATTTGTGTGTATAAATAATATTGTATTAAAAATATCGAAATTTGAAAAAAATGGAAATGACTATAAACAATTGCAAAAAAAAAAAAAGATTATAAAATAATTTGAATTGACGAATAAATTGGCACAAATAAAACGCATCAAAAATGATGATTCAAAAATCAAAAGTCATTTTGATTCCGGATAAAAAATATCAAGATTTTCGAAACCCAGTGGAAAAGCGGGGCAATAAATGTTGAAAGAATAATAACAAAAAAGCCTCTTATATTTGCCATGAAGCTATGCTATTTGCTTTTTTTGACGAATTAAAAATATTGAAATTAAGGAAATTCGAAGCAATATCTACCGAAAAGCTACATTGATTTAGTTTTATCGCGTCAAAAACTTAAATGCGTAAAGCAAAAATTTCCGGTATGTTTTAATTTAAAAAAAAAAATTCATAATAGTTTTTTTCTGACTATGTTCAGGTGCTGCTGTGGGCAGCATATTAAAAGCTGGAGGGTCGCAAATTGTGCCGCCCTATCATTGTGTATTATTTCTGGATAGTCACCCACCCCTCCACAAGGGTTGAGGGGGTGTTATTTATGCCACTGATCCAATGACCATGAGTCATCCGTGAATCACATATTGCTCAATTTAGAGATAGATCTGAAACGGAAATAAATTTTCCCCAGATCCTTGCACCCATTATTCGGTTCAGTGACCTATCACGGGACTTTCGATTCACAAATTTTACGTATACGTACTCGTAAATATATACGTATACCTGGACCGAATGTATACCTTACCGAAATATAATGGACCGAATACCTGCAGTATACTGCAGGTATTCGGTCCATTTTAGTGGTTTTGAGGATAAAACCCCGACCCCCTATAAAGTGTTAAAACAAAAAGTGTTGGAGCTAAGATAGAGATTTTAGAGGAATTTTTCTGTCTTAAATTGTAACAAGAAAAAAAGCATCATTGTTCTTTTCAGACTTTTTTTATGTTGAAATTTTTTATCCAATCTTCATAAATTCCAGTGTGAAACACGTTTTCCTCTCCCCCCCCCCAAAGCACCCTCCAATGACAAAAATATTTTACCATAATTTTTGCTGAAGATGGATAGGGGGGTGGGGAAGACTGGGTACAGTGAATTTTCCAAACTTTCTCGCGAAGGATTTGGGATCTTTGTGTGGGAGATCTCTTGGGTTTTACAGGAATTTTAATTTATTAAATAGTAGCAATGATTAGAAATGTGTCATGAAAAGCAAAATTTTTCTAATCGTTTAATTAATTTTATGAATTTGAAAGATACGGAAAACTTGAAATTCTAAAAAGTAAAAAACTTGATGAACAGTTGTAAACTGTAAAGGGCTATTCTCACTAGATGCAATTTCTTGCATGTAAATAAGAACCTGATTGGAGAATTATTGTAACCATCCGATAACTCACCAATCAAGATCTCATTCACAAGTAATTTTATTTTTGCACATGAAAATATTGTATCCAGTGAGAATGGTTTCAAGGCATCAGTCCTCAATGGGCTGTCTTGCCAACTATGATGACGATGGTTATTTTGATTTTTTATGTGAGATACATGAAGGTGCGTCTAATGGAGCATTCTAGCAGTAGGGGAATCGCTCATGTGATCGCGTCAGATAGCCGTCCGTCCCACACGTAGTTTCTAAACTTTCTTTCGCTGGCTCAGAGTAATTGCATGCAGTGTGAATGTTCTTTATGGGTTCATTTTCAGTGCATATGATTCAAATGCAAGTGCTTGTCTGCTCTTGCATTCATTACATTCATGTACGTAGGTAGGAACTTTATTTGCATCTCACTAGACCTGCACAATGGGCTATTGGTGACAATGTGGAAAGCATCCCTGAGGATGATCTAAAGACATGCCATCACCATTTTAATCCTTTGCAGAGGGGATGACTTCTCTGTTTAGGTAGCCCAATGACTTGTTCAAAACCGAGTTTCAAAACTGTGAATTCACACGCACAAATCGAGATCTCACAATTTACAAATCAAAATCACAGTCGGGAATTAGAGGCAGTGCAAATGCTGCCTAAGTGCACATGTGCTGAATTTCAATGTTAGAACTTAAGTAAATAACCTATATCTTTTCAATTCTCGATGTTAGTGCTCATATAAATGATTAGTTCTTATTTAATAGTTATTTAAAATATTTGGCATATTTATATTTTTAATTTATACTGTTAATCATTGCAATTTAACTGCATTTGTATTTCTCAAAAATAATTTACCTCTCAACAGTCTGGCAACGATTGCCTTTGCCACAAAAACTAGCAGGGGCTATAAATGAATAATTTTCGAGAATTGAAATGAGTTTAAATAATAAAAACAATCAAAAGTATTCTGCATTTCCGAACAGCCAAAATCGTGGTAAGCTTAATTGGCTTCATTTATAAGTTATAATTCATAAAATCTTTTGTGTTAATATTATTCGGGAGTGATAGAGCATTCAATAGCAGATCAGGAATCTGCTGCATGTCCCCATTACGCTCTATCTGAAGTATATTTTATTTGATTGATAAAATTTAGAACTTATTTTTTATTTAGTTATACACACGATGTTTGTTAATTATGATTCAATCTTAAAATGTGATTTATTTGATCATCATCGATAATGGTAAGGTATTAATTTATGAGCTTTGGGAAAGATTGCATTTCCCTCAAGACTTATCTTTACATGCGTACCAGAATTAATTCATACCTTTTCATTCATTTCTTTTTTGAAATGTTTTTTAATTATGGATTATCTTTCCTATGCTTCTCAATAATTGGCTTTTTATAAGAATCAACACGTGTTATTATATTGCTTTTTACCTCCGTTTTTTTTCCTTGCTGCTTCTGAGCGCTAGCAATAGATTTTTGAAAATTTATTTTGAAATAAAATTTTATGCAAAACAATTGTTTTAGTTCAAATAATGTACCGTTTAATTTTATTTTAAGTATTTAATTTATGTATAAGGAAATAATAATGAACTTAGTTAATTTTAATGTTACAAAAATTCTAAATTTTTTGCTAAGTGCTGAGTGTAAAATTAAATTCAGGTTATCAGTTAATTCTTATTATACATTATTTTAAATTTTTTATTTTAACGTTTTAAGAGTTAGGATGTTTAATCAGCCTTGGATTCCGAGATTAAATGTTATTGTTAAATTATTAGTGAATCAGTTATTGCTTTTATTTTGTAATTTAACTTTTAAATTATGCTTCACTATCTGAGTAAGGAAATTGAAATAGGTAAATTTATTCTATCTAATAGACATTATATATTATAGGACCTTACCTGCGGATGTTTATGTATTCATACCTGTTTGCATTCACCTAAGTACCAAAAGAATTTTAGACTTTCATAAATGACTTTGTAAAGCATGTAGAGGTTTGCTTGCATGGGGATGACTACGAGTTTTAACCTTCAAGTTGCCCCCTTTTACCGGTGTTTTTTTCTTAGTTCTTAGGACTGCTAGGAAAAATCCGAATCTTTGCATTTATTTTGGCCTCGGTACTGATAAGGAATTCTTCCACCACCTGTTACGCATACTTTTACTTTCACCTTTATTATAGACCACTTTTTAAAATCTCTGGCGGTCTGATGAATTAATCATATTTTTTTCGTATGAACTACTTTTTTTTATGCAAGTGGAAAAATCTGCAGTTTAAACCAGTTTGAACATTCCGAACAAATGTAATTTTTGATTGCAAAAAGGTTTTTTGATCAAAAAATTGTCATTAATCTTTTTAAATAAGAATTAACATAATTTCTGATTTAATAAACTATAAAGAGTAAATTTATAAGTTTAACAATTTAAAATATTTATTTAAAATTTATTTGTTACATGTATTAAAAACTATTGATATATTCAATGAACGGAATCCTTATATATTTATTTAAATTTTAGAATGGACAAATGAACAAGTAGAAAATGGTAGTACTACTGCGTCATTTTATTATTGCATACATCTTAACAATTAGTTTAAATATTTTAAATCTATTTTTCATAGTTAGATGATATATTAAATTTATATTCTATCCGTGTATATGGGCTATGTCTTATAAATAGTCACTCTTTGAGAGGTGGAAATGCAATTAAGTTTTATTCCTAGTTTATGTTTGTAAGTTAAGCTCTGCAAAAATTACCTTTTTCAGTGTTTTTTTTTTAACAAATTTCTCAATTTAAATATATTTTAAATGCTTTTTATTAACTTTTCTTCTTTCTATTGGTTTTGTTGCTTAAATTTTCCTATTAATATTATAAAAGTGTTTATTTTATGGATGTCAGCACTGAAATATAATTAACTTCATATTTTTATCAAATATATTTTTTATCAATTATTTTATTTGATTATTTTATTATCAAACTCATTTTCAATTGCATTTTTATTTTTTTTGAGATATTGAAACATAATAAAGAATAATTTTTATCTTAGGGTAATTATTCTTTATTTCGAAAAATCACTACATAAAGAAATGTATTCTGAAAAGAATGTTAACCTTTTCTATTAAATTATTTTTATACACTGTAAAAGAAAAATGTATATTTGATACCTGATCCTTGTATACTTGATCGTCAAAATTACTTCAAAATATATTTTTCTAAGCAAATCGGTATTTTTTTTATTAGATTACAGTCATTTTCGGTAGATGCGCCCAGGGTTGGGTTTTTGACGTCAAAAAGTGGTTTTTGACATGACAAGGGTATAAAATTGTCAAAAATGTCAAAAACTGAGGTTTGCCAAGAAAATATATAAACTTCAAAACTACCAACAGTTGCTATGCATTATATTGAAATTTAATTATACTATAGGTAATCAGCAGGTTTCAAAATATTTTTTAATTAAAATTAAGGTAAAATAACAGATTTAAAATCTCAGAAATTTATATTCAAATGCATGTGCAGAAAAATTTTGCACAAAANAAAATATTTTAAAACCTGCTGATTACCTATAGTATAATTAAATTTCAATATAATGCATGGCAACTGTTGGTAGTTTTGAAGTTTATATATTTTTTTGGCAAACTTTAGTTTTTGACATTTTTGACGGGTTTTTGACGGTTTAAACCATTATTATACCCTTGTCATGTCAAAAACCACTTTTTGACGTCAAAAACCCAACCCTGATATATATATATATATATATAAAAAGAGGTAGATCTTTTTTAGAAATATTAATTTAAGTAGGAATTATCTTTTATATAAAATAATAGAAGGGCATTAATTAAAAGGAGATATATATTTTCTTTTTTAATGTCTTATTTCATTGATAACAAAGATTTCATTCTAAGAGAAGATGATAGGTATATGCGTATTATTGCATGAATTAATTAAAAAGACTGGAAGTTTATAAGAATGGCATGAAACTTTGTTACTTAAATGTTTGTAAACTAATTTGCTAGTAAAAAAATATTTCAATTGTACCCATTTAATTTTATAACACTTAAATGCATTGCTTTCATTATTAAATATGTAGTTTGTGCAGATCAAGACTTGTGTAACTTATTATTTCTTTCAGTTTGTTTTTTGATCTTAACTAATCTACTCTTCATTAGATATCTAATTTGCAAATAATCTCCCTATCTTTAACATTCATTAGCAAGGTGAGCCTGAAAAAACATAGCTATGGTTTTTATCTATTCAATGATTAGTTATTCATAATATCTTTAAACATTTTAGTCAGAAATTTTAACTATAATATTGTTTTTAAAGTATATCAAGTATTATTAATATGTTATCAAATATCTCACAATGATATATTATCAATATATAATTATCAGATGTTTTAGTTGGTGAACTTTAAAGAAAATCTAATTTTAAATTAAATCTGAATTTTTAAAAATTTTGTTTAAAATATTTCGTGGCATTGCCTGATTGGGGATATTTCCGTATAGTGATCTGTCATGCCAACTACAATCGCTAAGGTGCCAAATAAATTTTAAACTTGCAATTTAAAGAAAAAACTTGTAGGTTTAGTCCAGGGGTGGGGCTATAAGTTATAACCTTCGAAGTTGGTACCTTTCTTAAGTCTTTTTTTTTTTTTTTTTTTTTTTTTTTTTTTTTTTTNTTTTTTTTTTTTTTTTTTTTTTTTAAAGTTTCTCGTGAGGTGCTGCCCCGAAGTTGCCAAAACCTTGCAGTTATTCTGCCACAGATCTATCTCTGGGCATAAATTTAAAAAATAAGCTAACAGACATGATTAATTGATAAACTACTTAAAAACCTTTTTCTATAATTTAAACTGAAAGTTATGAAAAAATGAATATTTAAAGGTACATTCTTTAAAAAAAGGTATTTATTTAAAAATATTTTTAAAATTTAAAAATACTTAAAAAAATTATTAATGTACATATACCTCTTACCTTGAAAAAAAGAGAAACTTATAAAAATTCATCCAGTTGAGAATAATCCCTACAAAGAAATTATTTGTAATAGTAATCAGAATTAAACCTATAAGCACAGATATTTTTACCTGTGTGCAATTATTATTTAAACAGTTATTTATTTTAAATGGAATATGAATAAAAAGTTAGTGTTTGTAAGGGAGGGCTGCTTATTTTTACAAAAAGATCAAAGAGCAGGCTGCCCTTCTAAAATTGCGTAGGAAGAACACTGTCAGTTTATCTCAGTTTTCTGTAGATGAAAATTACTCAGACAAATAAGAATAATAATAAATTTAAAAAGATAAGATTTTTTTTAAAGCAGGTGTAATTGTGATAAGTATTTGAATTATTATCTAAATATTATATAGTATTTGAATTATTCAAAATTATTTAACCTCAAATCCTTAGTTTCCCAAATTGTGGCTTTTGGTGCCAAATGTTTGACCGATAAATAACCGAGACTTAGTAAAAATCGAAGGCTTTAAATCTTAATAAAGGCTTTAAATCTAAATCTTAAGGCTATTAAAAGAATTTAAGGCAAAAGTATCAAAGTACTGTGCAAAAATTTCGTCCATAGTAGAAAATTAGATAACCAATAATTTCATACAAACAAGATGACAGGATAAATTGTTCCTGAAGTATCGATAAAATAGGCATTACAAATGTATTTCTATAGAAAATAAAGTTTGATAAATGTGATGCTATCTTAAGCGATTTAGCAAAACTCTAACCCGTTTCTTTAAGGTTTAGTTTTAATACTGAAAATTTGCAAGCATATTTCTAGTTCAATCATCTAGATCAGTGTTCCCCAACCTTTTTATCACCGCGGACCTGTCAACGATTGATAATTTTACAGCGGCCCGCTGGGCGGCGTTGGTTACTTATATTTAAGATTATTTTGATTTATTAATTTAATTGTATTTAAACATGCTTTCAAAATAAAATACAGTTACACATAAAAATAAACATAAAGTGATTTAACATTTTATCTTACTAGTACGTTAAATCAATGAGAACTCTGAGCTTGTTTCGTTGCAATGAGACGGTTCCATCTGGGGGTAATCGGAGACAATGATACATTACAAACATTAAAAAATTTATGTCACCACCTTTGGGAGCCCCCTTTCTTTAAATAAATAAAATTTTAATGGAACACAGATATTTTTAATTTCGGGTATAAACCTAGGAATTTAACAATGAAATGGGAGGCCTGGTGCCATTTGATCCACGGACCCGGGGGTTGGGGAACACTGATCTAGATAAGCGGCTCCCAATATTTTTCGTCTATGGAACCTAAATGATTGACCTTTTTGCAGAATTCTGTCTTATAAGTAAGGTTCATTAACAATTATGAACCTATTAACCTAAGAAGGACCGCTAATTATTTTGAAATTATTTAATTATATTAAAATTACTGGCAGTTGAATAAACAAGCAGCAGCTAGTTTCAGTTCTGAAGTTGTTTTTGGTGTATGACTGAACTCAAAATTTATAAAATAAGCTGATTCATTGAAATTAACAAAGAAAATCTGTTAAAAACANCAAAATTTTAAATTTATTTTTTCTAGAACATATTTAGAAACACTATCCTTTAAAAAATATATAAATTTTATGTATTAATTAAATTTCACATATGAATATAGGTTTTTGACATTTTCGACATTTTTGACAGTGAGGTTTTTGACGTGACGGTTTAAACCATGGTTTAAACTGTCAAAAAACTGTCACATGTCAAAAACCTGCCAACCCTGATTTGAATTATTATCTAAATATTATATAAGTATTTGAATTATTCAGAATTATTTAGCTTCAAATCCTTAGTTTCCCAAATTGTGGCTTTTGTTGCCAAATGTTTGACCCATAAATAACAGAGACCTAGTAAAAATCTAAGGCTTTTAATCTTAATAAAGGCTTTAAATCTAAATCTTAATGCTATGAAAGGAATTTAAGGCAAAAGTATCAAAGTACTGTGCAAAAATTTCGTCCATAGTAGAGAATTAGATAACCATTACTTTCATACAAACAAGATGACAGGATAAATTGTTTCTGAAGTATCGATAAAATAGGCGTTACAAATGTATTTCTATGGAAAATAAAGTCAGATAAATGTGATGCAATCTTAAGCCATTTAAAAAAAAACTCTAACCCGTTTCTTTAAGGTTTAGTTTTAATACTGAAAATTTGCAAGCATATTTCTAGTTCAATCATCTAGATATAAGCGGCTCCCAATATTTTTCGGCTATGGAACCTAAATGATCGACCTTTTGGTAGAATTCTGTCTTATAAGTAAGGTTCATTAACAATTATGAACCTATTAACCTAAGAAGGACCACTAATTATTTTGAAATTATTTAATTGGGGGGATTTGATTTTTTTCTTCTAATTATCTTAATGCAGTTGAATGAACAAGCAGCAGCTAGTTTCAGTTCTGAAGTTGTTTCTGGTGTATGAATGAACTCAAAATTTATAAAATAAGCTGATTCATTGAAATTAAACAAAACAAAAAAATCTGTTAAAAACATTAAAAATGATTTTCAGAGAAATTTTTATTTTTGAGTTGGGATAATTTATTAAAAATTCGATGGGAAATGTTAATTCAAAATTTATAAATGCAAATAAATTCTTCATAATATTTATAAATCCTTTTTTTTTTTTTTCGTAATTTCTTCAATGTACTGTTGTTCATTATTTTTTTAAAATTTTGCTTTTTTTCAATGGCATGTAATTTAAACAAATTCATAAAAGTAGCAAAAATAAATTTCAAAAGAAGGCCGTATCTTATAAATACATTTCTAATTCTTCAAGTTAATGTAGAAGTTAGCAAAAATTTTCAATATGGCATTAAAAAGCTGTCTCCTTTAGGACAAAATTTTTTTTGGTGTTTTTTTTTCCTTCTTCTTGCTATATCAGTAAATTTAGTTATTTCGTTTTAAAAATATTTTTCCATTGCTCTCAAAGTCTTCTTAAAAATGCAGTTTTTAAGTTATTTTGTAATTTCAAAATTTATAATGAATTAAAAGTGAAAAATTAATTTCAATTAAACTAGCTTGTTTTCCAGCAGTTAATAGTGAAGCATTCCCCCCCCTTTTCATAAAATGTGAATCAAGCATTGTAATATTGTAAAATAACTTTTTATGAGTGCAATTTTTAATACAGTTATTATAATTGATTTTTAATTATATTTACAAAATTTAACTAATTATAAACAAATGTTCAAAGCATCTCAACATATTTTAATTTTTAAAGAAATTTTATTTTAAAAGAATCTGAGAAATTATATACATAAAAAGAAACGCATATCTTGATTAGAATTTGTATTAGTACTTCATTTTTCTACTATATGGTAAAATTCCTCTTAAATTTTCATGAATAAAATGAAATATAGCGGAAGACATTGAAACTTAACGAATCTAATTACTTTATTGATTAGTTATGTTTTCATTTTAATCCTCAACAGAATGTCTAAAGAATAGCGTAATCCATCGAAAGTTGCGGATGCACAGTTTACTGAGATGGAAGGGGTTTGAATGGAAATCATTTAAAATCCAACTTTATTTTTTAAAAATTCCCTCTCCTTTAACTGGAACAGTACATGCTTGGGGAATTTTTTAAAAGATCGCAGCTGATGAGGGAGGTGGGTGAGTGGAGGGCATCCGTCAAATCACGTGATTTTTAGATGATCCGCAAATAGAAATCACTTTTATCGATTCTGCATACGGTTTTTAACTGAATTAAATATCTGCTCGCAAATATTAAGTAGTTTTTTTTTATGAATTTTTTTATATATGCAGTTTAAATCAAGGTCGAGTAATCCTCTACATGAATTTTTAAAATTTATACATAATATTTCCGATTTATATTTTTTTTAACACTTTCTCAATATACAATTCCATAGAATTTTAAAAAAGAAAAATAGAATATTACAATGAATACTGTACTAGGGAATGTTTTGCATCTTGAAAGGGAAAAATCTCGTACGAAGGGGAATTTGTTGTCAACCAAGTGGAAACACCGCTTGCTGCTTCCAGCAATTCGCTAGCAGGAAGTAGAAAAGTCCGACTACTCGTAATTTTACGTGGCTGTTCACCATTAAGCCTAACTGTTGACATAAACTTATTAAAGGTGTGAAAATACTCTTACTCGGTTAATTATTGGTATCTTTTGAAATATGTCTCTGCAAGACATATTATCACCAGATATTGTTTGATTATTAATTATTTTAATTTATTTGTTTTGACTCGGCATGCCATACTGCACATATGCAGTCAAGTAAGTACGAAATATTTATTTTTCTTATTTTTAAAAAAAATAACATTCTTTATGCCAAATTTAAATTCTTATATTTAAAGAATAGTTCGAAGCTTATCGCAATGGTTTTTTTAATCCACTACTTAAGTGAAACTTTTTATCGTAAAAATTTATCATAGCTCATTGAATGAATATAAATTCACAAAAAATGTTTGACGATTCTAGTCATATTATCAAGAATAGATTTTTGTATTAAATTTTTTTATTTTTTATTTGCTCGATTTTTCAACATACTGAGTTAATATTTATGCTAATCCTGACTACAAATCTGCATTGACGTTATCTGATACTATCTATATAGATCGTATTTAATTTCTAACTGCAATTTTTAATGTTTAAGTTATGTTTTTATTTGTTTGATATTAATATTTTAATGTACAGAACCTGTACTTAATGTTTATTTCTATTTCTGTAATATCTGTCTATGTTTCTACATTTACGTCCTTGTTGACGTAGCGGTAGTTTTTTATAAAAACAATTGCTCTTTCATTGTGTTGTTAATCAAATGATTGAATGTATTGCTTTTGTATTACAGGCTTATTATTAATAATCATAAAAACATTCACTTGAGTCTTTTAAATGTTTTGATGAAACAAATTTTTATTTATAAACAAAAAAATTTTTTAAAAAAATATTGGCAATATTTTGAAATTTATAAAGTTAAAATTGCTGAATTTTGATCTTTTTTTTGTAACACTGTTATTAGAAATAAATAATTTACCATTGTGTGTATTGGCAAAAATGACTTATATTTATTTTATTTAAGGGGTATATGTATCAAATTATTTTTAATGATCTTTAGTTTATTATTGATTCAGTTGTAATAAATTTTGTTTCTTTGTGCAGGTCACGCAGATTTTGGTCAACCTAGCTATCCAGGGGTAATTTATATATTTTAATATTCTAATATATTGACTATGACTTATTGTATTACATTTGATTGTAGCTATTGTATTATATTTGATATCTTTGACATTCATATGAGATAATAGCTATACACAAGTTTATTTAGGCAATTCTCAGAAATGTAGCGAGTAAATAAGTTTAGTTTAATGTCTGAAAGTGTTGTTTTTCACCTTAATTTTGCACTGAGAATTGGTAAATTTTGAACTGCTAAATTTATATTTGTGAAGAAAAATTATTATTTTTATTTTGTTGCCAAATCCTAAGCATCTCCATTATTTCATCATTGGTTTGTATTTCTTGATTATTATTTCCAATAGAATAAAATATTATATGATTTGATACCAAGATTATTATATAAAAGTAGTATTAACTTATTAAAAGTGTATTCTGATAAGTGCAGTAGAAATCAGTTATGTATTTATATACATTTTATAGAATTTTTTTCCCCACTAAGTAGCGAATTGTTTAAAAAAAAAAAACAAATTAATTCTGATCTGGGATGAAAATTTTAAAACTTCTACACTGACTGGTTATTAAGGTTCTTTATAAAAAGAATGTCAGTTTTATATTGATGGTTTTCACAATAAACTAGAGTTTGTTTACACTTTAATAGTGCTTAGTTTTGTTAAATTAATTTAAGCACTCTCTAAATATTTAAATCTATTTAAGATGTTTAAAAGTCTCTACTTTCTTCTAAGGGAGAAGTGGAAGAGAAATTATATCTTTTATTTTAAAAATAAAAATTTAATTTTTGTTTTTTATCAAGTGAATTTTTAATCACTTTTTGATACTAAAGTTTAATTTTTTCTATGGTTATTTGCATTTTTTTGGTCCTTTTACATGTATTTTCAAGTAATTGTGATGGGTACAATACGACACATGAATCTCAAATTTGAGTTATCTTTTTTTTTTTGGCACACTCAATTTCATTGTAAATCTGTGCCAATTTTCAATTGGCTAGTTTGTTTGGCCCTTTTCATAAGGGTTCATAAATTCCTATCTTTTTAATACGGTGTTATGACACACAAATTTCATATTTGAGTAATCACTTTTCAACATCTTAGATTCAAATGATTTTATTGTAACTCCATGTTTTCCTATCGCTTCTTCAAAATTCACGAATTTGATGTGCTCAATTCCATCGTAATTCCAATTCTTTTACTCAACCATTTCTTGTGTATGTTTCAAATTTTAGCTTTCATCTTGGTCACAACAAATCCTGCGTAAATCCATGTTATTTTAGATGTTTTTTTGGTTATTTTCACACTATTTTCCTTGAATTTCAATGTTTAATACGACCTGTAAAATTCGAATTTGAGTTATAAGTTTTTGACGGCTCGATTCATGTCAATTTTAATGTGAATGCATGCAATTTGCTATTTTTTTTTCCTTGTAAAATCGTTATTTATAGTTTTTTTCTTTAGGTTTCATCCTCTTTTTTTTCCTCACCTCAAATTCAGATATTATAATGATACTGCAATATGCAAGTATCATCATAACGCTTATTTTAATTAAAGGTATAACTTTTTGACTTGTTCTATTGATAAACCGTGTCCTTTATTGAGCAATTTCTGGCAATTTATCGTTTTTTCTTTATTTTCTTTATTTTTTGGATTGGAATTCTTTAAATATGATGTTATTATGGTCAGCGAATTTAGAATTTTAGTACGTTTCCTTGCACTGTTTTAGTGCTGATCCCACCCTAAAACAATGCTGTTATCCTATCAAATTTTTGGCAGTTTTTACAATTTGGTCAATTTCCATATTGATTTTTAAATACCTAATAGTTTTACTACAGTAATATGACAGCGTGTAAAATTTTCAAAGTGCAAATTTATCTATGGGATAAATTTTTAAAAAAATTAATTGCAATGTGCAATGCATACATACCTACGTAGTACATGGTGCGTAGCATTTTTAAAAAGTACTTAAAAGTGCTTATTTTCAATTTCATTAGTGCTTATTTCAAAGGTGCTTATTCAGGGTTCCCACGGCCTTGAAAAAACCTTGAAAAGTACTTGAATTTCATTTTGATTTTCAAGGGCCCCTAGAAGTACTTGAAAACGATATTAAATCCTTGAAAAATTCAAAATGACCTAGAAAAGTATAGAAAACTCAGGAAAACGGCCCTATTTCCAGCATTTCTGTGTTTAACTTTTTGACGCACGTAAGTGTGAGTTAATGACTTTCCCGCCTTTCAGATGATGACACGCACTGTTTGATTTTAGGATTTTATGTATGTTTGGCTGATTTTAGGAATTTTAAATATTGGGAACTGCGCCAGATTCTGACAAAATCTCGATTCTCATTCAGGCAATTTTAATATCAATCATCGATCTTCGTATTGAACTGATTTAAGAGCTATGTGTTGTGATTCGTTTTCGCGTGATTCAAAAATTGTACTTGCAATTCCCATTAAAGCAATTTAAAAATCTATTATCGCGATTTGTACTTAAGCGTTTTTAAACCCCAATATCGCGATTATTTTTTCCGCAAGTCCAATGTCGCTATTCGTATTCACGAATTTTGCAATATTAAACATCGATGTTGTAATATCAAACATCGATTTTCGTATTTATACTCTATTTGAAAACTACTCGTTACGATTTGTGTTCATGTGACCCTGTCAAGTGCGTATGATCGACGCTACTGAAAAAAATTTAATTCAAGTATGAGTGGTTAATTAATACAGTCAAAAGTTGGCAACTGTTTCAATTTAAAATGTTTGACCGGTAATAAATTTATAATGATAATTCAGCTGCAACATCCAATAATTGATTAATTTTCTTATTAGAAAAGTGGTCAAAATTTCAAAATTATATTTAAGAACAATTTAAATTTCACTGTCTAAATGCTTCTGCCACTTTAAATATTAAATAAAAATCTCCCGGCAGAGTTGTTTTTAAATATCTAATTGATATCACAGTATTATATAGAACATCCCCCCCCCCGTCCTGCCCGAATTTTTGCTTATTCAGAGGTTGTATACCTAGCTTAAAATAGGCCTTGTGCAAAATTCAAATCTGACGTTTTTATGAATCATGAATTTTATTCTTGACTTCATGCCAATCACCCTTGCTTTTTTTATACTTAGATCACTTTCCGAAATCAAGAGAGCGATGGAAGTCTTATTTTTCAGTACTGTTATTATCGTCTAACATTTATCGTCAACTAACTATTATCGTCAAAACATTTTAGTTGAAAATGTAAAATTTAAGTCCTTGAAAATTTTATAAGTGTTAAAAAGTCCTTGAAAAGTACTTGAACTTTATTTCTAAAGTAGAGCATGAACCCTGTTATTTCAATAGCACCTTTAAAGGCTTTTTAAAAAGCCCTTAAAGCTTTTTTTATCGGTTTTTAAAAAATGCTTAATTTTCCCTTTTCCAAAATGAGACTTTTTTCGTTAACATGTCGATTTTCGCCACATATTACTCAAAAACTTTTCACATTGTTCAACGTTTTCACATTTCATTCAACCACAATTTATTTTGGTGTACCGTCGGTCCATAGCGTGTGAAAGCGTCAATCATTTTACATGTTTGATGAAATAATTGCAAGTCCGCATGTGCGTCTACTTAACTGGGTTCGGTGAGATTCACTCTCATGTGCAACTGCTGCACTTTGCAAGATATTCTCAATTTCAGACTTCATTTTCCACCCTCTGATATGGAATCGAAAAATCTCTGGATCATTTTATAATGGCTAGTATGATCAAGAAAAGAGTTCTTTGTCAAAAATCTATTCGTGCCAATTTATCATGATCATATAATATTAATATAATATTAATCATGATATATATAATTTATCATGATCAAAATGCATAATAATTTTCAAAGACTTATGTCTTTGAAAATTATTATGCATTTTGTTAACTATATAGTGCTTTAAAATATTTTTTGAGTGCTTGAAAAGTACTTAAAAGGTACTTATTTTTTGTTGAAAGATTTGCAGGGATGAGATTCTTCCGCGGATTCGCGGATTTCTGCTTTTTCTCAGATTTTTCCATTTTTCCCGCTAATTTCCGCTGAAATTTTTTTTGCACAAAATAAAATATTTTATGAGGAATTTAATTTTCTGCAGAGCGAAATTATTGAAGTCCTCATTCCTCCCTCTGAAGTTTCTCTAAAAATCATTTCCTTGGGATAAAAAAAAGTAGGCTTACAAAGATTTNATCTTGATCTAAAAATTACGCATCATGATTTGTATTTTCGCATTTTTTAAATTCCATGTAGTTTCATATTCACGTGATTTAAAAGCCTCATATAGGGATTTATAATCACATGGTTTACAAGTTTAAAAATCGCACTTTTTTTGTCAAATATTTATTTATATATATATTTATTCTTGGTTTTCCTCTTTTTTACTTTCTGCCTACTCTCATCCCTGGATTTGGCTATGCACCCTGATTTAGTTTTTTATTATATTTATTTTTCATAAGTGCTTCTTTTTTTTTCTAGCAATATGCTTTTACTCCACAATTGTCTGTTTCAAGCAATACACCTCATGATATGAATAAGCAGGTTGCTGCAGGTCAACCAGGAATGTATACTAACTCTGGTGGAATGCCTACTGCTCAGCAGCACCATCAGTCGATGGCAGGTCCAGTACCTAACCCTCAGCCTGCTACTTTAGTACAGCAGGGTCAACAGATGCGTGCTAATCCTATGGCTATGCCGGTAAGATAGAATTCTTAGTATTTGTATGAACTGTGAGTCCCGGTTCCCGCTGATCTAAAATTTAAATTGTGCTCAGGGTATCCGCGCACCTGGAAAGTCATGGATTTCGGTATTGAACAAAGTTTGTCTTGAAATGTCATGATTTAAACTATTTTTTAAAAAGTAATCACGGAAAGTTATGGATTTTAGGTTACCAAAAAATCTAATTTTTAGAATGGAACTCTATCCAATTTCATGGTGTTCCGATATTTCGAATATCTGAACTTGTAACAAAATCTCCACTCGCAGTCATATTTTGTTAAAATAGAAAATGTTTTTATCAAGTTCTTTAATTATTATAGTGTTCTTTCAAAAATGAAAGGATATCATTTCTGGAGTGATTTCAAATTTTTTTTTATTTATTTATTATTAATTTTTTTAATTTTATCAATTTAAAATTCTTGCTGAAGCAAGCCAGTCATTGTTGAATTTTTTTTAATTCCGAAATGAGAAAATAAAATCGGGAGTATTTCTTTTCCTTTCTGATGAACAAGAAAAGTATCTTTAGAATATAGTTCTGCAGAAGAAAAAAAATTATTTGCTTTTGTATTTTTTTTAGCTATTCTATTGCTTCAACTCTTTCTTTACTATGTTTTTTTAAAATCTATAGATATGAAGATACATAGTATAACAGTTTTGGTTATACTTATCATTTCAATTAATGTTATTATAATGCTTTTTTAAATTGTGTTTTTGTCAGAGAAAATAGCAAATTTTTTTAAGTCGAGAAAAAATTTTTGGAATTAGTCATGGAAAGTCATGAATTTTAAAAACTAAAATGTTGCAGATACCTCGGTGTTACTTAGTAAAATCTCGTTCATCAGACATCTATTCTATCCTTTCTCCCCATTTTTCTTCCTCTGTCCTCATTTGTGTGTGATAACTACTTCTTTATACCGATTTTTATGGGAAAATATTTCGGATAAAGTTTGATAAGATTGAATTAGGGAAAAAAAGCCGTAATAACTTTGACTGGAATCATTTAATGAGCTACTGAAGCCAACTCAAAAGTGAAAAGTTGATAATCTGAAAACTGATTCCGAAATAATAAGTATTTGAAAGATCATTTGCTGGAAAAAATGGTATTTTTAAATTTAAAAAAAAAACTTATTGTGTAATGAGTAACAATTTTATTCCTAATTCCGATTTGTAACAGAAAAGTATTTATTTCATGTGGTATATTTGCCCCCTTTATTAAATGACTGCAATTAAATATAATTAGTTTTCACTTTTCAACTCGCTTCATACCATGATAAATCCACATTTTTTCGATATTTTTTTTCCTTTGCAGTTAGTGCATTTGATTTTCTCATAGTTTATAAAATTCTACAAAAAGTTGCTCAAATTCTGCAAAATTCGAATCTCTCGTTTCAATATTTACTTTTTGATGCACTCAATTTGCGCCTAGCAGCGTAAATACGTTTGGGGTTTCTTTCATTTTGTCGGCTATTTCTATTATGAATTTTCTCAAATTTTTTTTTTAAAATCTCTATTTTTTATACATTATGACATGCAAAATTCAATTGGTGCATTTTTTAGTCATTTTTTTTGCTATTAAGGTAATTTGAAATTTAATAATTGATTATGACATATTGAGTCACAGATTGAAAAAAGTTCTGTCTTGTTACCAAATTTTAAGATGTAAAATTGTAGAACTTTGTAAATATTTAATGTTATGTTGAGATTTCCTCTGATTTTTTTTTGTTTTTTTTTTAGTGATTAAAAAGTTGGCATTTTGTCTAATAAAGAGGACCATGTTTATATATATTTAATCAATATTGGCTTATTAAATTATTAATTGAATTTGAGAATACATATTTGATGGAATAATTTTTGTTATGAGAAATAAAGACTAATCTGTTACAGTATTGAGTAAAAAGGTGATAAGTTTAATACTATTCTAATACTGTTTCTATTTAGAATCTTATCCCCCTTTTGCCTTGTTTTTCTAAATTCCGTTCCTGTCATCAATGTATATTAATTACCATGTATTTTTTCATTCAGGGCTACTATACAGCTCGAAGTAGCGTGCCACGAACTATACCAAACATGGGTAGGACACCATTGCAAACTGTTGTCAACCAAGCTGGGCAACAACCAACATCACACTATGGACAGATACAGATGTTACCTCCTTTTTCTCATCCTATGCAACCAGTTATTGTGAACCACCAATTTCAACAAATGGTTAATAATTTTCTTTAAATTTTTTTCTATTTGCATTTTTAAATAAAAAATTCTTCAATTTATTTTCAACCAAGTTCGCAATTAGTGTAACATAGGGGTGAGATTTTTCCGTTTTTTAGCGAATTTCCGCTTTTTTCGCTTTTGTCTCCTAAATTTCAGCCTCTTTATCAAAAACTCTGATTTTTTTAAAAGTTTCACTATTTTTAAAAATAGACATTCCACTTTTTCTAAAAATTCAGCCGCTGAAATAAAATATTTTTATTTTTGATTTTCAAAACTAAATAGAAAATTCAAACTATGTAGCAGCCAACCCTTCCGCATTTTGACTTATTTTAGCTATTTTCTCCACTTTTATGCACAGAAAATAAGATTTTTCACATTTTTACCTGTGATCGCTCATATTTTTGTAATTCAGACAACTCTGCTTCTACGTTGAAAAAAATGTGGCGCATGTTATGTGGTCAAACATCGGCTTTCATATTTATATACGATTTAAAAATTAGGCATTGGGATTCTTATTTATGCGATTTATTAATTATGCATCGTGATTCGTATTTATGTGACATAACAATACAAGCAAGTTTTTTAGAAATCCAAAGCCTGGAATCTGTTAATATCTCTATTCTTATTCTCACGATTTTAATATCAAACATCGATTCTCTTATTAAACTGATTTAAAATTTGCACTTTCCGATTCTTATTCACGAGATTTAAATATCGTACATTGCTATTCTTATGTACAAATTTTAAAAATCCAATATCGCGATTTGTATTCACTCGAGTTTAAAATCCAATGTCGTGCTTTATTTATGTGGTTGAATATCTAACATCAATTTTCGTATTCATGCACGATTTAAAAATTAGGCATTGGGATTCGTATTTACGCGATTTAAGAGTTACACGGCATGTTTTGGATTTTTGGAATCTACTGTAGAGTTTCATATTTACATGATTTTAAAATCCAATGTCATGTTTCTTATTCATCAGATTTTAGAATATAAGATCGCCATTTGTATTCAAGGGGTAAAAAAGCCGAATAAATGTGCTAAAAGAAAAGGAGGTGGTAAAGAAGTTATGTTCATATGCTGCTAAAAGACAACGACTCAAACACATAAAAAAACACACAAATGACAGTAAAGATAATGAAATTCTTACTGACAAATAAGAAGCTATGACATAAGTTTCACCAGAGACAAAAAAAAAAAGAAACTTATCAAAAACTTCAAATGGAATATCTAGGTCTGCCTCTGCAGATATAGATCCTATGTCAACATAAATGCAGGGATCTGAAATTAAAAAGCAAAAGAGAATTTAACTTTTAAAGAAATGTTTCAAAAAATTGCAGCTAAAGACCATAATTAGTTTCATTTGTGTGTTTCATTTGTGAAACTTTATTTACTTTTGTAAATAATTTTTAAAATGTTGCTGTTATTTTTCCTATAAAATGCAAAATTCTTATAAATTGAGAAATAAATATCTAAACAGTTGCTTATTATCATGTAATTTTTCAAACTAAAATAGCAATTTCTGTATGTTAGGGAGCTACTAAATGCTTCTACTTCACAATTATTGATATTTTTCTCAGGGCTTTAGCTAGATCTGATTATAATGTGAACATAGTGATTTCAACTGTAAAAGTTTATTTTCCTTTCTAAATAATTTAAAAAATTATGTTACTGATATTTTTGCTATATATCACGTAATAGTATTTATTAAAAGAAATGTAATGTTAAAGTATGTTCTCAGTAGTTTAATGTGCTAAACTAGGCAGATTCTCAAGTAATAATTGTTTCCTTTTTTGTGAACTGAAGAAAAATATGATTTCTAACTTTATTTTTTCAATTGCTAATTTTACTTTTTTCTAAATGTTAAGTGTCGCTGTAATTATTAATAAATTAGTACACAATTTGATATCAACACATAGTTATTTATTATCTTAAATTGTCTGAAATTTATTATTAAATGATTGCATGCATGGAAATTCAGCTTTTTTGCCTTTTATCCAATCTCATCCCTGATCTGCTTTAATTATACAATCGTAAATGGGTTCATGTAAGAAAGAAACCTTTTCAACTAATTGTTTCAATTCTAAATGTTGTAATGATAATACTCTATATTCTAAAATGAAGTTTTTGAATAAAAATATGTATTCACAATTATTTTTATTTTCAACACATGGTGATTTATATCCTATTTTTTCACTTCAGAGTTATTGGTGGTTATGTTTTTTTTTTTTTTTTTTTTTTTTTGTAAGCATTCACAACTCTTATAGCAAGGTTTGTGAATTAGGCAATTTACAAATTTATAGCTGCCAACCCTACTGGATATTTTTTTACTGGACTATTAGGTTAATTTTGCATGAACTTGTTTGTGTAACGGCACCTATTTTTAATAAAAAGTTTTTGATTGGATGCTTTGATAAAATGAAAGTTTTATGCCTTTTATATCTATTTTTCATTATATTCTAGTATTTTTTTAATTGTATGCAAAAAGGCTATAACTAATAATCAGCCACTATATATATATTATATTCAGTTTCAACTACTGTAATTTCCGAGATATACTTGGATATATGATGCACTTGTAAATTTTGACTAAAAAGGAAGCTCTTTTCTTCAGAAACGCCGTACCATCGTCATCGATCCTAGAGTTAATGCATCTGTTACAAATAACATGTTATATATAAAATAAATGATTAACCTTTTAACTATCATTAAAGTAATTATTAAATACATAATACAAATATATATCCAATCTTACTTAAGATCAGAGAGAATTTTGATAATTTGATTGTGCACAATTCAGATCACAACACAATCACAAATGCATTACAAAATTTATTACTTATTGGAAATACTCTAGTTTTATGTAAAGCAAGTGGTTAAGAACCTTAATATAATTAGAATAAGTAATAAAAATACAATAAATTGATAAGAATCTTATTAAATGCAAAATAGTACTGCTTTATCGTAATTTGGTTGGAAATACCTAAGTATTATGAAATCAAATGATTAAACAGCTAAAAATACTTAATTCAAATAAGTATTAATTAAGTAAAATAAAATAAACTTTATTAGTGCATCTCTTAGAAATTATGGTACATACATATATATAGCTGTTAGTCAGTTTATTTATCTTATATATTTCTAACGTTTCTATTAGACAGATCCCCCCCCCCCCCNCCCCCCCCCCCGAATATTTGGTATTCTATTTGGCCATTTCGTTACATCTCTAGTATGCAACTATAAAATTTATCAAATTATTTAAAATTTTAATTTGTTTTGTTTGGTATTGCATTTATGTCCCTTGAAATATCTGAAATTGCCGTATCTTGTGTAAAAATAGTTTGCTTTTTCACTTGAATGATTTCTATTGTGTCATCTAAACTACTGGACTTTTAAGCCTTTATGTCTGAAGTTATGCAGATTGCTTGTGCACACAGTGACTCAAACCATATATTATGTGATATATGTATATAAGTTAGTTTTTAATATTGATCAGAGTAGTTATTAAGTGAAGAGAGGAGTCAAAATTTTTGACTTGACTATGCTTTCAATTAGAATTGTCATATTGCTGGGGATTACAGTTATCTCTGATAGATATGCCACACTTGCGATAAACATGGCTAAGAATTTCGTGTAGGCTGTCATTTTCCCCCCCACTAATATACAATAACGTATGAAATGTCACTAGATTTATATTTATAATAAGTACTGCATATAAATCCGGTTACCCATTGCTTTCCAAATAATTAAGGGGTCACATTACCCAAAAAATGACCAAAATATCAACATAAAGATTTATTGCATATAATAAGACTTGAAACTATTTCAAATGCACTAAAAAAGCCATCTCTCTATTTACATTTTTAAAAGGTTATGAATGATTTTAAATTGCCCTAATATAGAAACTTACTCAGCAGACAGACTTTAAAGTGCTTTTTCTCATAGATGATAATTTTGTGTTTTAATCTTAATTAAATCCCTAAGGAATTTTTTCTATTTAAGATAAAGCTTTGAAGTAAACTTTTTTATCTGGAGTATAATACACTTATTTAAACTGTGCATGGAATAAGCATTTTATGAAATATTATAATTTTTACAGCCTTTACCTAACGGGAATTTTTAACCTTTTTTTTCTACTTTTTTACAAAGTAATCTATAAAAAATATTCTAATTAATATATCAACAAATGAATGCACAAAATTTTTAAGATGAATATTGTAAGCACTAAGAAGAAAAAAATTTGAAAATGTTAAAATAGATTTAAAAATTTTGAATTTGCTCAATTTTTTTTAAAGTTTAAAAAAAATTAGACAGTTTAATTATTTTTTGAAGATGAATTATTGATTATAAGTTAAAGGAGCATATAAAGCATCCACAAAATGAATGATTATACCTTTATTTAAAAAAAAATTGTTGCAAGGGTACTGTGAAAAGGTTATTTGAAAACAAAGAGGGTTACATCTTTAAAAATGTTAAATAGTGGGCACCACATCGACGCCACATTGATTCTTATCAATTATCACATGCGTGGAAATACACTTGAAAAATAATATTTTTTAAAATATAAACTTAGAAGATGGTTATTAATTATAAATCTTTTTTTATATATACACTTATTAAAAAAAAAGAATTGAGAATACTTACTGACAGAAGAAACTTATATAAACCATCATAATTTCNATGAATGCTGAGGATTTTGAAGCATGGATGGAGATCGACGAGAAGGTTGAGAATTCTACTTCGTTAACTGATGAGGACATTTGCGAAGCCGTATGTGTCAAAGATCAAGCTTCGTCACAAGATTCTGATGCCGATGATGAACCCGAAACTGCTATCGAGGTCTAGGTGTGCAAAACAAAGCTGACGCGGAACACTTTCATAAACATTATGATTATGAGCGATTCGTAAATGACTTGCTTTGAAGAATGCTAAGCAATCGACAATTGATGATTTCTTTTTCAGTTAATAATTAACCTTTTGTATTTTGTATTGTTTTCTGCAGTTCATGTAAGTATACTAACTAATTCTTTTTCTTTAGTGTACATTAATTTCTATTAAATGCTATAGAGTTTTACAGCAACAACTCCTAATTTAAAATAATTTTTATTTTAATATGCATGTAAAAAAAATCATTTTTTATCTTAAATTTTTTTTCGTTTACTGTATTGTAATCAATCGGTTATTGTTATCAAATCACGTTTGTCCCGATGTGATCACATTAAGCGGCATCTACTGTATAATAAATGTTTTGTCCTAGAGCTATTAGTTAGATTTTTTTTGAGGAAAATAATCATAATTTAGCTTTGTCCAGCACCCCAAAGTGTTGAGGAGAAGAAGAAAAATTACTAACTCAAGCAGGCTCAGATTTAACAATACAAATTTTGTGTGCACAAGCAGATGTTGATGTTTGTTAATCCCATTCTTTCATAGTGGTGTGACATCATTACTCGGTCATTTGCAATAATTATGAAAAATAACAAAGTTTTCAAGTTTTTCTTCTTTTATTGTAACAAGTTTTTTGCATTTTTTAAAAAGGAAAATGGTATATTTATTTTCTGAAAACTTAATTTTTTAAAATATATCGAAAAAAAGAGAGGATTGAATAAAATCCATTGATCTTCTCTTCAAACTGATTTCAGTCCTCAGGACTGAAGAGTGGCACCCATGTTGAAATATATTGGTTGTTGAAGATGGTATGTGCATGAAATTTTAATTTTTCCTAAGTGGCCTTCTTTTAAATCACTTTCCCATTATCAAAAATTCACAAGTATCATTAATGAAATTAATGTTTTCATTTATCTTTGTATTTTCTTTGTTTTACTTGGAAAACATTTTCTGTGCTTTATGTAAATTTTTGCTTAGTTAATATATTTGGTTATTTTCAGTATCAACAGAGGCCATTTAGTCCTCCCCAGAACATAATATTCCCAGCAGCAACTGGCCAGCCTGTTTATCTTAATAATCAATGGGGTACTCCATACCATAATCCACCACAAGCTAATTCAAATGGTATAATGTGCATTACTACTTTTTTTATTATTTAAAATGTTTTTTGCAATGTAATTTAATAATTTTTATTCTTTTCATTTAAAGGTTTCTATCAGTCCCTGCCAACTTACACCAACCCCATTGCACCGGCACAACAAATTACTCCGCAGCCTGCTCAGCAGACACAAAAGAAAACAAAAGCACTAGCAATAATCGACCCTGCAACGGGAAAAAACATTTTTGATGGCAGCACTGATGAGGAGAGTTCTCGTCCAACTCCAGAAAAAGAAACTGTAAGTAATAGTCTAAGACTAATTCATTCATGGGCCGTAGTCTACACTGAGATTGTTCAGATTGATAAAATCAAATTAAATCTAAGCAGTGATAAATTTGTTACTTGTTTTCTTCTCTTTTCAGTGATGCAATTATTCTGCACATCTTTCTTAAATCTGCCTTTTACTTGCTTTCAATAGACTAAGAATTCTGAACTTGAAAAAATCTTTCATAATTCATGAATATGTACACCAAAAATCTTCTGAATTGGTATCTTCTACCAGATTTTTTGTTTCAAGATTTTTAGGGCTAGATTAATAGCATAAGAAGAAAAGATATAATTGAATTCTCTTGTCATAAAGTGAAATTGGGGGCATATATAATAATTTTATAAGATTAAATCTATTCATGTATGATAGAAATTGTTTTCAAAAATTTGAATTTCTTAAATACATTTAAATTTATTTATATTTAATTAACATTATTGTCATATTTTCATATGAGACTTTTCATAATTTAATTGTATAATAAAGAATAATAGATATAATTAAATTCTCTTGTCATGAAAGAAAATAAGGGTTATATTTAATAATTTTATTAGATGGAATTTATCAAACTGCTGTTGCCTGTCTTTTTTTATTTTATTTTTAAGAAAAATGTTTTCCAAGTGCATGTTTATACTCTTGTTCATTTAACTGAAGTACCCCAGTCATTTTCCCTTTTTTTTCTTCTTCCTTATACAGACCTAGTTAACACCATTGAATCGGCTTATTTAAAATGCATAGTGAATGCTCTAAATTCTGTCATTAAACTCAATTCATCCAAATCAATTCTTTCTTTTTCTTATGTCATTACCTAGTGTTTAACGCTTTTTGAATACCTAAAAAATTTTTTTGTCTGGCACAGTATAGCCTCTAGACTAAATTCCAAATTAATTCTCTTGAGCTTAAGGTATTTTGTCATTGACCTAATGAAAGCTGCATTTCTTGATTAGCACGATCCTTTAAGACCTAAGCACTAACTTATTAACCCTTTGCAATGATATTAAGTTTATTCATGGGTGTCGTGCTAGTCGGAAATAATTTTCATTGAACAAACAGTAATACATAATATGCAAGATTATGAAGGAAAAATAAAATTTATAATTCTTTTTTAAACATATGTTACACAATAATATGTTTTAATTTTGTGTAAAAATTATATTTTGTAGTTCTCCATCGTGTGGTATCTTTCAAAGCAGTCTCCAATATGAAGCCCTGGTTTTCGTGAACATGTGTCGCAAAAATAATTAGTTTGGCATCTTCCGCCTTTAATATTTCTGTTTGAACATACAGAACAATCTTTACATTTTCGTAGTGCCACAATACGTGTAGTTTGCCATTAACCTGTGGCTAACATCTTTGTAGTGTTGGCTGAGAGCAGACGTGTGACTGAATTGATAAAAAAGTGTTTGCTGGGAAAGTTTTGTTAAAAAATTTGGCTACATAATAGAATAAACGTGAAAATTAATTAAAAATGGTTGAAAGCATTTTTAATGTGGATTATTTGTAGTCTAAAACGTATCTCAATTTTGTAAAATTTAACCGTAAATAGAATTATTAAAAGTTTGTGCTATTTTTTTTCTATGGAGAGATTGTTATACATTCAGTTTGTGGTTTGTTTTCAGCTGTAAGATCATCCTGTTCCATGCATATTAGACAGTTAACTTTTGTCATTCTTCATCTGATAAACATAGTGATATTCATCTAAAATTGTTTTTTTCTTTTTTTTTTTCCTTGCACAATTTTTTTACGTAATTTTTTTTATTTAATTAAATAAAGTGATTATTTTAAATATAGATTGAGTCCCTCAATAGTGAATATATTGAAAATTGTGAATAAGTTGTTTTTATGACGACTTATGTAATCGAGAAAGAGTTCTTTGTTAGAAACTAGTTATTTTATCATAATCATATCAAGTCTTAGAAAATTATTTTGCATTTTGTTAATATATATATATATATATATATATATATGAAAAACTTTCAACAATAGGAGAAAATTTACTCATATCCTAATTATGATATTTTTTTAAAGTACTGAAAAATATTCAGTACTTAATATATAATGTCATTTATACATTAAATATAATATAACAGGAACTAGTTATTTTGTCGTGATCATGTAAAGTCTTTGTATTTTCTTAATGTATATAGTGCTTAAAAATATTTTTGAGTGCATAAAAAGTACTTAGGTGCTTATTTTTTGTTGAAAAATTTGACTACGCACCCTGTTTGACAAATAAGTAAAATTAAGTTGATATCAAAGTTTTATGAGAAAGATCTTGAAATTGATTTTATATTTTTATTAAATGTATAAAAGATTATGAGCCTTCTTTATTACTGGGAGAATGTTTCTCCCTAATACACTATCCCTATCATAACTAGGAAAGCCGGTTTTGCTATGTGAAGCAGATTGCAGGTTAAGATATGACTTTTTACATGAATTACCATCGTGACTTTTTACGTGAATGACTGTCAGTGGGTTAAATAAGGGATAAAAATATTGTGCAAGTTTTAAAACTATATTCTTTAAAGGGAACAATTTAATAACTAAAATAATGATCTTGTATATGAATTCAAATGCTGCTTGTTTCTTGATATATTTGATTTGAATTTCTGATTTGTAACATTTTTTTCCCTAATTTACCAATAGTTTAAAAATACTTAAAAAGCCTTAAATAAAACTTAAGTTTTTATTAAAGTTATCGANATACAACAAGAAGAAGCAACACCAGCAATCCTGTTATCTTTAAAAAAATGGCGAAACATTGCTGCAGAAAAACGCCAAAGTAAAGTTATACAAAAAACAATTAAGGACCCCTTTGTATTTGTTAAAATAGACATTTAAACCTACACGATTTATCTTAATTTGCATTTTTCGCTTTAACCGAGTTTTTCGGTTATCCGAGTTAGTCTTGGTCCACATTAACTCGGTTAATCGGGGTTCTACTGTATTTAAAAATGTGTAAAGTTAGTAAGAATATGCTTAATTTTTTTAAATAAAAAATTATTATGTATAGTAAATGGAATAAATTAGTAGTGACTTTTATAATTTAAAACTGACAATAGACTATCACACTCTCAGTCTGCTACGGAATTTCCGTAAATCCAGAAAATATTTTTCTTTGTGGTAGCAAAAGTAATATATTTTGATAAATGACAATTAACTGAATTTAGTTAACGATTATAAATAGACTATTTCAACTATAAGGTCAATTAGACTAATAGTTCTGATTAAGTTTCTGCTTTAGTTCATTACTGCTTGGAAGGCATTTCAAAATCCCGAAATGTTGGAAATTACGCATTAATGGTGATATTTAGGAGCTCTATTTTGTTGTGAGTAAGGAAGATGGAATTATTAAAAGAATTAAGCTTTCATATGAAATCTAGTCCCTGTTATTTTCTTTGAACTTTTATGATACTATCCTGATCTATAATAGTGAACCATATTAACTGTGCAATTATATAATTACTATTAAAATTTAAGTTTAGTTATGATAATAGTGCCGGGCAATTGGAAAACTAATAAAAGTGCTTCACGATTGATTCCAAGAAAAGTGGTTTGACAACTACTTTCCTTCTATTGCTAATGTTATGAACGCTAAAATAGATTTTCAAAAAACTGATAACACAAAATTTATTTTTGAAACAATTTTTTTTTTTTTTTTGCAATATGTAGCTTTCCAAAGATGCAAAATATCTTATCTCTATTTTGAATTTTTTTTTTTTTGTCACTTACGTTGATTTTTCAAATGCACCACAGAATAAATCATTTGACACAACAAACAATCCCCTTGATGGTGTGGTTTCACTTGCAATTCTTTGTCTACTTATAGTGCGGCTTTTAGGAGAACTCCGGACACCCGTCTCGCGTCGGGGTGGGCACTATGGTTATGAGGAAAGGTCACTTCGAATAGGGATCTGGGATGAATAATTTTGTCTTAATCTTAGCGTAGGTCGTGAGTACCAATTTACACCTTCTTTCCCCCATTTCACCCCCATTGGAAATGTGCTCTCGCTTGTTACCATAGAAGCAGACAGCCCTAGACTTTTAGTCTGGAGGAGTTCTCAAAGCCACACTATATCCTATTTTCTCAGCCCTTTTGATTGCAAAATGTCACTACTGATAAGTTTTTATTTTTCTCCCCTTATATATAGCAAGGTATATATTATAATTATGGATATATAGTAAAATTATGGACAAGGACATTTTTCATAATTTAAGAAGGAAATATATATTTCAACAATCTTTAGTAACATTATTTTTAATTAGCTAAGTAGAAGTGAATTACAACCTTAAATGAAGCAAAAGAAAATAATTATGTATGCAAAAGTTTTCCTCGTTATTGTGTCTGAACTTCTATTTTGACATCCTAATCCAAAACTGTCATGTTAAGCTTGCAATTGTGATATTATCATGAATAAAAATAACTTTCAATTATGTGGACATGGGACAGAAGATAGGGCAGTCTTCCTGAGGGTATGACCTCACTTGTAAGATGTTATGTCAACTTCTCTTATTCCACGATTGTATAAAAATAACAGTTTTGTTTTCACAGCAAAATATGTCTCATTAAGCCATGTTCTAAAATGAAGTTATTTATTTTTTTCTTTTCAGGAAAATTCAGATCCAAACATATGTGTTCAATTCGCAGCTCAAGTGGCTGCAACTCTAAATGAGAAAAGTGAACCTCTATCTAAATCTTCTTCTGTTGAAGACACAAGAATTATAGATTCTCAAACAATTATTAGTTCGAATGAAATAGACGCTGAACCAGAAGATAGTGAACTAGGTGATGTTGAGAGTCTGGCTGATGTTGAAAGCTCATCAGATATTGACAATTTAGAAATTAGCCGAAATGTTGAGTGCATTGAAAAACATTCTTTGCCCAGCCTCAAAGATGTTGATTTAAATAGTATTAATAAGACTGTTTATGAAACTGATAAAAGCATTTCTCAAGTTATTGAACCAACGTTAGAAACACAAGACTCTATTTACAATTGTTCGAAAGAGAAAAAATCTCACGAGGTTTCTGAAGAGTTGACTTCGATTTCTAGTATATCTAATCGGGCTGATCATTCAGCTGCTGATAAAAGCCTTCATGAGAGCCCAGAAATAGATAATGAATTAATATCAACTGTAGAACCAGTTGTTCAGAAGGCTGTACATGAAACACAAGTAGTTCCTCCATCTAGTATAAACTATGATGAAAGCAAGTCTGTAGAAAGTGACATAACAGAAATCTTATCTTCCAGTAGCAATTCCAAATTGACTCCAGAAGGTATTTCATGCTTATTTTTATTATTATTATTTTTTAAAATTTTTTATTGAAAATACTGTTATAAAATGTATAAGTTTATATCAGACAGATAGAATAGTAGAACCCAAATTATACAGCATCTGCTCCTTCCCCTTTTAATTAATTTAAATCCATCTCTACGCATATTTCACCATAGCTGATGTCACCTAAACTATTTAATTTTACATGCCTGCCAAGTCTCCTGTTTTTAAACAAAGACTCCTGTATTTTACGATTATCTCCTGTTTCCCCATATATTCTCAAATTTCTCGGTATTTGTTGAATAAATTTTTAAAAAAAGTTGTAGTGATAAAATATCCGCTGATAGCAAAAATATTTCTCAATAGATGGTGCTTTTGCCAGTACGGCAGTATGTTGAGTATTTATAGCTTAAGTAATTATAAATAATGGTTTGAAAAAAATCTTTAGATGAAGATTTATATGCGTATTTTTCACTTCGTTAAATGTAAGTGCTTATATTATTTCCAATGTTGACTTTCATGATTATGCATGATGTATGAAAACTAATGCTCATAGCCCCAAAAAAATGTCGCTAGTAAAATTTCAGTTATTTTATTTCTCTAATGTTGACTGGTAGGAGTTTAGAATCTTGTCTAACAATCTGTGGACTATCTTAAAATTTACCTGGTGGAATAACAATTAAATAGAGAACATTTATGATATTTTACATGATATCATATCATTGATGGTTGAAAAATAAATTACTAGTAAAATTTTATTTCAGTTCCATTTTTTTGAGCAATTATACTCTAGAGTGCAATTTTTATATACTTTCAAAATAGATTTAAAAGGTTAATTTTAAAGACCCGATTTTCCGGCATACCATATGTCACATGTATGGTTTAATTGGGTTGTATATTTGGTCCGTTCATCTGATTTATAAAAAATTGAAAGGGCATGATGTTTGTAAAAAAAAAAACTTGTAACTAGAAAAAGACATTTTCAGTTTCAAAACTTATTTACCTTTATGATTGAAGATAAGGAATTCGAAATTGTTATTTAATTAGAATTTTCGTCTTTTAAAAGCCCTTAAAGGTGCTTTTTTCATTGGGCGTTTTTAAAAAGTGCTTTATTTTCCCTTTTCGAAAATGAGATTTTTTTCTTTACCATGTCAATTTTTGCCACTTATTATGCAAAAGCGTGCTTTTCACTTTGTTCTATTTGACCTTTTCACAATTCATTTAACCACAATTTATTTCAGCGTACCGTCGGTCCATAGTGTATGAAAGCGTCAATCATTTTACATGCTTGATGAAATACTAGGGAGTTCGTGTGTGTGTCTCCTGAACTGGGTTCGGTGAGATTATTGCACTCTCATGTGCAACTCTGCTGCATTTTTCAAGATATTCTCTATTTCAGGCTTCAGTTACCGCTTTGATATCGAAACTAACAATTTCTTGAGCATTTTAAATGGCTAAAATAGTCATGAAAAGAGTTCTTGTCAGAAATTAGTTATTTTATGATTATGTGAAGTCTTCGAAAATTACTTTGCATTTTGTTATTGTATATAGTACTTAAAAAGTACTTAAAGGGTGCTTATTTTTTGTTGAAGCATTTGGCTATGCACCCGTATCTGAATATTTCAAATATGCTTATGCATCACTTTACAGTTACAGCATTCAGTTAGAAACATTGTATCAGATTGCTTAAGGATCATATTTTTTTCTTAATTAAATGCATTCAAAATTTAATGTATAACTTTTAGGAGTATGAGAAATGTTTTAAGGCAAAGGCAATGTATATTTTCAATTAAACAATATTTGAAAGTAATGGAATGGTTGAAGGGACTGAAAATATCAAATGAGGTGTATACAAAGTTAAAAAGGGAAAGAAAATTTTTTTTTTACTACCAATAATTTAGTAATATAGAATAAGCTTTATTTTAACACAATAAAGTTGCAAGCATAATAGTACTTATAAATAATGCAGCATGAAATAAAATAATTTAAATTTATAATATTTTGAATGAAATTTAAATATTTTTGAACTATATTCTTTTGCATAAAAATTGTATTTTAAAAATATTAGAATCATTAATAAAAACACCACATACATACAATGAATTTTTTTTTGCAATGATAACAGAAACAAATTCTAAAAATTAACTGAAATATAAATTTAAAAACTCTGAAAAGCACATTTCATGTACATTTCTAGCAAGTACAGTGTGACACTGTATTTATTGCTTAACAAGATTTAAAATAAGTAACTTTTAATCTTTACTCTTTCTAAAATTGTATATTTTTTAAAATAAAATAATTTTATAAACTATCAGAACGTGAAATTGTTGATGGTCTGTATTATTTTAAGAANTTGGCACCCTTTTCTGTATCATTCATGTTGGCAAATGCCGCCTTTTTTTAAAATACACAAGAAAAAATAAAAAATTAAATGAACGTGAACAAAATCTAAAAACCGACGTATAACCGATTCTGTGCGTCATATAAACAATATATTTTTACATTAAAATTAATAGGACTGATTTGGGACCACACTAAAACGTCCTATAAGTGATCGTCGTATAAACAATGCTCCACTGTACTTATTTGGTTATATTTTAAAGTAACCCTTTAAAAAGACTGATTTAAACCAGCAAACCCTGTCTGCTGTACTTATTCATATCAAGTATTTATGTATATATTTAGTGTTGATGATAAATTTGATTTAATTTTTAAAAATGTGAGGTAAGTTGCACCAAAAAATGTGCATAAAATATTGATTCTTATATTTTGGACTTTTAGTCATTTTGATCTATCTACAGTTTGATACTACTACTTACTACAATGATTCTATCTACAGTTTACTTTATTTCAGTTTTGTCCTGCCAGTTACAGAACTGTAGGGAATTCATTTCTATCATTAGTTGGTAATTCATGGGTTATGATAATGCCATTCAATACATCTTTCAGAAAGAATGTGTATTGTTGTCTGATAAAACCTCTATGAACTGATGATAAAGCTAGTTGCTATAAATTCAACTTTTTGAAAAATGGGTCATAGTGTATAACAGTTTGACTACTCTACCTTAAGACATATCAAGATATTTTTTGGGTAGCAAAATATTTCTTAGTTTAATACGCTTTGTAGATTGAACAAATTTTGAATTATTATAGCAATATTGATTTAAAAGATAATTTACAATATTTTTTGGAAAAGAGCGCTCTTTAAGAATTTCTTTACATATAAGGAAATTACATTTGGAAGACAGTTGGTATGCATTTAAAAGAGCAATAGCTATTTTTTTTCTAAGCCTTTTTTAAAAAAGACTAAATTCTTTGTCTAATTCATGTTCACTATAAAGGAAAAAAATTAAAGGTACTAGTTTTATTTTTATATGTGTTGCAAGTTTTCGTTTTGTTGTATCTATATATTTCTTTGCAGTGATTTCATTATTCTTAATTTTGTTATACGCTCAAGAGATTGGTACTTATGTGAGTTTGAGGTCTTATGAGTTAGAATAAGATTTTTTCCTAATTTCTAATATTTATGTGTTCGTTTTAACACAATTTTATAGAAGTTAGAAAAAACAGTGATGAAATTTTAGTTAATTATTCATTAATCTTGCAAGCAATTTTTTTAAACATGTTGCAGTTTGCTGAAATTATTTCTTAGTAATTTTTAATTATCATTGTTATGTTTTGTTTGTAATCCTGACTTTTTGACTCACGTCGCCATAATTTTTGAATGAAATATAGGTGAACATGGAGGAAAAATAAATTTACTTTTTTGATACTATTTGATTGATATTTTGAAACTTTCTTCCCATTTTTTTTCCCTTAGTAAATGTAGATTTATTTAAATAAACTAAGTATTTTAAGCACGTTTTGTGATTTAAAAAAAAAAACATTATTTTTTGATTCTTCAAATGCAAATTAATATTTTACAAATTTTAATTAATAAATCATTTTGTAAATCTAGCTAATAACAAAAGTTTTCATTCATTTGTATATGGGAGGACCTTTTTTAAGTCCTGAACTCTTCAATCCTGAGAACTGATATCAATCTTGAGAAATGATCAGTAGGCTAAATTCCGTCCTCCAATTGATATTTATTTAAATTTTAAAAAAAAAAAAAATATCCTTTAAAAAAACTTAAGAATAATTTGTGAAAATAAAATATTACTTTTTATGAAAGCTTTATTTTAGGTAATAGGCAAAACATTAAAGATGATAAAGTGAAAAATACGTAGAGATATGAATGTTTTCAAGAAAAAGTTTGTTGTGTAATTCTAAAATTGGTGTAAATACAGATAAGAGGCTAGCTGTTAATTTTGTTTCGTTTGTTAAAAGAATTGTTTTAAAAATTCGATTAAATATCGCTAGACTATGTTAATTGGTCAAAGAATAATTTCAGTCCTAAAAAAATTTTTGATGGTTGCCCCTATGCTTCCATCCTCATTCAATGATATTTTTTTTACTCACAAAATCTAATGTAAATAACATTGCAAATAAGGATAAAAATTTGTTTGGTTCATATAGAAAAGGTAAAATTTATTAAGTATAAAAATTTACAGCGTACTGCTACTTCTGTTTAGTGCTTTTGCTTTGTGAGACTAGTTCTAATTGTCCAGTGACTTTTATTTAGCTTAAGATTTTGATTTTATTTTTCAATTTTTGTTTTAATTACCTTGAAGTTTCAGTTGGTCCAGTTTTTCTCTTCCATTTTTCTTATACAAGTTAGTGATAGAAAAGGTTTAACGTCAGTTTTAACATGGTCTTTTTTAGACATTAAAGGCAGAGTTGATGTGACTGCAAAATTTGGCCTTTGTGGCAGGCTACGATTCTCAAAAGCAAACTCAACTCTAATAGTCCCATATACTTAGCAAGCAAGAAGACTTGAAAAAATACCATTGTTTCATTATGCTCACATCAAATCAAAAGCAAATCAATATTCTTTATTGCTAAAAGCATTTTGTTTGCATTAATTGATTCAAATGTTAGTCTATTTTCCTCATGATATTA